AAATGTCAAACGCGATGGTTTGTATGTATCATAAACACTTCACTGCTGATTGCTAAGCCTTGAAAGCCACATACAATTGGTGGAGAACTCATCCTACCAGCAGTTAGTGAGGTTACTGGTGTATCCCTGAGCTGGATAGCCCAGGTCTCTGTCAGATCTTGGAAGCTAAGCAGGATCAGCCCTGGTCAGTATTTGGATGGGAGACCACCAGGGAGTACCAAGGTCGCTAAGCAGAGGCTGGCAATGGCATACTACTTCTGAGCATCTTTTGCCTTGAAAACCCTACGGAGCCGCCATGTCAAGAATAAAATGGCCAATACCGTAACCCTGTATAGATCTATGGCATGGCCTCATTTGGAATACTGTGTGCAATTCTGGTCACGGTATCTCAGAAAGGACACTGCAGAGTTGGGAAAAGTGCAGAGGAGGGCAATCAAGATGATTAAGGGGTTGGAGCGACTTCCCTATGAGGAAAGGCTGAAGAGTCTGTCACTTTTCAGTTTAGAAAAGAGACGACAGGGGACGGACATGATACAGGGTCATAAAATTATGCATGGGGTGAACAGAGTTGACAAGGAGACGTTTTTCTCCCCCCTCCCGAAATACTAGAATTCAAGGGCATCCAATGAAGTTGACGGACAGTAGGTTGAGGACAGACAAAAAGGAAATACTACTTTACACAGAGATTGATTCAAATACAGAATTTGCTGCCGGATGACGTAGTGATGGCCACAGGAATAAGCAGCTTTAAAAGTGGATTAGCTAGAGTCATGGAGGATAGGTCAATCAATGGTTACTTAGCCATGGTGACTGAGGGGAACCTCCACAGAGCCAGGAGGCAACATCAGGGGAAGGCCTTGGCCTCTGTGCCCTGTTGTTGGCTGTCCAGACGAACTGGTTGGCCACTGTGTAAGACAGGATGCTGGACTAGATGAACCATTGATCTGATCCAGCAGGGCTTTTTATGGTCTTGAGGTTCGGAGGATGGTTTTGCATAAAGTCACCAGACAATCTAATTAAGGCAATTCTCATTAACAGTTCAGTCCAAAGATGCATAGATGAAATGACTGAAAATGTGGAAGATAGCATTGTGCAGTATACTAACAATAGAATTTGCATTGCAGCTGGATGATTCAACTTTGCCAGGCAACAGATCTTTGCTTGTCACTTCCCTGCACTTTATAAAAGATGAAAATTTGGCTCAAGACTTGTTATTCGCAAGGCAACAAAGAACAGATACAAACGGGTAGTCAGTATTTCATGCTGCTGAGCAGTTCTTCAAAGAAAAGGGAATTCTGTTTAATGACAGACTTGCTTATGCAACTGATTGAACACCAGCAGTGGCTGGTTGCTACTGTGGATGTGCTGCTTTACTTGAAAAAAGCATCCCCAAATGTCTTTACCATTCACTGGGCCATTCACCACCAACATCTGGTTGAAAAAAAAAACCCCAGTGATCACCTGCACAAGCCATTACACACTGTCATTACTGCAGTGAATAAAATTGAAGCCCCTGCTCTCAATGACATTTTTGAATGTTTGCTGCTTTATATTGAAGTTTGTTGGCTATGAAAAGGCAACTGTGTGAAATGCTTTTACGACCTGACACTGTTGTGGAGTGTTAAGACACAAGTGCTTTGCTTAGTAATGAACTCAAAGAGAGCAGGTGTAACACTGCTTATTTATAAGAACTATCTGTAAAGTTCAGTGAAATGAATATGCAGTTACAAGGAAACAAGTTGCAAGGAAATGATGTCATTAAGGCCAAACATGTTGTCTCTACACTTATTTCAACGTTAACGCTATTCAAACGCAGTAAGGGCCATCATGAGCTATACTAGTCTTTGAGCCAGTCTGAACTAGAAGAGAAAGATGAGATGATGATCTGCAAGTTTTTCTGTGACCATTTGGATAGGCTACATGAAGATATATCTGAGCAGTTTGAGAATCTTCTTTCAATGGAAATTCCAGATTGGGTGATAAATGCATTTTCAGATACTGAGGAAGTTGGGGTAGTGAAAGAAGATCTAACAGGGTCACAAAATGACACTGAGCTGAAGCCAGAGTTTATGAAATCATACCAAGAGTTTTGGTTACAGAAGCCAATTTTTCGATCACTGTCCTGCACTACGGAATATGGAGGCCCTCCTTGTTGCATTTCCAAAACTGTATTTGGTGGAACGTGGTTTTAGTGTGGTCATCCAACCGACTCCAGACTACTAAATGTGATTTAAGTCTCCGATATTGGGAAATTCTTACCAAGCTTCTCCATTGCATTAAGTGTGTACTGAACAGTGAAGTAGTTACTAAATGTGGAATCTAGGATTTTTCCTAAATGACTACCAGACTTCAAAAAGCTGGTATCAATGGATCAAGTTCATCGATTTTGTTGAATAAATTAAACTAAAAAATTTAATTGGATTTTATTGTTATTATCTTCCTTGGTATTTTATTTATTTATTTATATTTTATTGGATTTCTATCCCGCCCTATCTCAAAATGGGCTCAGGGTGGCTCACAACAGAATTTAATATCAATAAAATTGGTAAGTTGTGGAAACCACAATTCTGAATAATGCTTTTTATGAGGGGGCACTGTGGATGAGTTTATGGAACCAAAGGGGTGGTGGTGCAAAACAGTTTGGGAACCACTGGTTTAGATCAAGAGAGAATGATTTGCAGCTATTTGCAGCTATTCCATTTGTTCATATTTGCACAATTTTCTGTACTGTCAAAGGAATAAAGATCTAAGGAACAGAAAAGAATTAGTGCTCTCCTAAGTAGAGCTGCACCCCACTATAACCATCTTCAACAGACTTAAAAGGCTGTAAACTCTGCTTAGAACTGCACTGTGAATGTCTATTCACATTCATAAAACATTTGATAAAACTCAAGAATTTTGCAAGGAGAAGAAGGCTGCTCTTAGTTCTACAAGAATGTTTTCTAAAGAGGCACCATTCTCCAGTTTTGATCTTGTTACTGTGGGAATACGCATCAACTGCAGGTTGATCTAAAAACTCAGAAGATGGAGGAGCCAGGTGCTCATCAAAAGGATCTGTTTTCAAAGTATTTCCTTGGGAAACTTCTTTCTTGCATTGCAGCCCATAAGTTCCTGCTGTATAATAAAGAACAGGTGGGAAAATGCCTTCACAAAAGCAAAGCATAAATAAGGAGTGGATCCATTACTGGTAAGAAGCTGCCGGAAGGAGGCCTCCACCTGATGTGGCTGAAAGAGAAGCAGCTGCCGTATATTTGTCACAGGGGGCTTTTAAAACTAGGGACGGTGAAATCTTGCATCTGTGTGAACAATTACAGAGTTTGGGTCTAGTACTGCTGCTTTTGTAATTCGGGGATGCTGATACTTCCTAAATGCCCACAACAATATGGTGCATCTTCAGAAGTCAGCCATCCTGAAGAACATGATTCTACAAAAATGTTTTCTTTTGATACTGTTATATTACAGCTCTCAGAGCTAGACTAAACTCAAACTCAGCTGTTTCACCTACTCTTCCTTCTGTATTATATGCACAGGAAGATACTCTCTGTGACAATAGACTAACCTTTTCTTGTAGAACCCAACTGCAGAACAGAGCTAGAAGGAGTCATCTGGAACTCCTGGCACCAGCAAATGCTACTTGTGAAATTAAAGTGAAGAAGTGCGAGGAGCTACCCACCTCATAAAGAACGAGTGATGTGTGGTAAGGACCTATCAGCACATAACATTTCCCCCCTCTACACTATCAGTAGTCACGACCAGATTAATGTAGGACACACACAGAGACCTAGGTGGATACACCCAGATCAGCTCTTTAATACAGAATAAAAAAACAGCAGCACATTTCAATTTAGTGTATCAATAAATAAAGCATAACAAATGTGGAAACAGGTAGTTTGCAACATTGTGCCATAATTACAAGCTTTGGTGTTTCCAGCAACAGTCTCATAGTATGTTAAAAGAGGGGATAATTGGGACATAAAATTAGGAACAGTACACCAGTGATGGAAATTTTGAAAGGAGAAAAAAAAAAAAGAAACACACATGCTACCAGTATAATGGAAAACCAGGAGCTTGTAGTGTAAAAAAATTTGTGCTTTACAAAAAAAATCAATAAAATGACAAGAGGGGTCTTTCCCCAAAGGGTTGGTAGAGTAGTGCAGAAATAGGAAAGTTATTTCTTCAGCTACTTGTGCTTCTGAATAAACTGTAACCTAACACTGGGGATACAATCCACACAGTGCTATGTCCACGGAAAATTGATCCCCGATAACATTCTAAAACCTTTTTCTTCTTGCAATGCACCCAGGTATTAACAAGAGAGTACAAGTAACCTGCATGTTGCAGGCCAGGACCAGAGTGGCTCACTGGATCCCTCGCCCCACGGAGCCGCACTTGATCAGCAACATTCAGGTACACTGCAGTGAAACTCTCCCTGGGTCAGTACTATCAGCAGAGTGCAGGATGGATCATACTGCTGGGCTTAGTCGAAGTGCCCTGGTCCTCCATAAAGCATTATTGCACTGATCAATCAGCAAAATAAAAATAATCAGTTTCGTAAGCTCCTCCCTATATATACAATCACACACACCCCCTCTGGGGGATCCTGACTGCTTAAACTCTAATCCTGGCTAGCTTAAACTTTATTTTTTAAAAATGTAAAGATTAAAAGCTTATGTTTATAAAACATTTGGCTCCAAGGGGCTGAAATAGAGAAAGACAATAGTGTAAAATGCACAGAATAATGGGATCTGTGCTTCATTGGCATAAAGCAAGAGTTGGGAAATGGTTGGCTGAAAGGCTACCTAATGCAAAAGTCTCTGATCAGCCCATGACGTATGAATGTCTATCTCATGACAGCCACAGGAGAGGCACCGTACAACAAACATGGAATATAACAAAAGGCTCGTAAGTAACCCTTCTTAACCTGAGCTGCACAATACAGCTTTATCAGGCAGGTCCACTTGGTCTACAGTAGGTGTGCTGCAATTGCTCTCGGGGTCTCTCTCGGTCAACGGCCCATGTCACCAGACGCCGTGCTCTCGGTTCTGGAGTCTTTCACATACCCAGTTTTTTTCTGCTTCTGTTTTGATTTCTTTAACATATGAACCTTGAATTTAAAAAATAAAAAGACAGTCACTTCAAACCAACCTTTGTTCAAAACATATCCTTTCTCAAGGAAGAAGTAGTAGTAGTAGAAGAGGTGGTGGTGGTGGTGGTGGTGGTGGTGGTGGAGGAGGAGGAGGAGGAGATTGGATTTATACCTCCCCCTTCATTTGGAGTCTCAAAGCTGCGTACAAACTCCTTTCCCTTCTCCTCCCCACAGCAGTCACCCACCCTGTGGGGTAGGTGGGGCTGAGAGAGCTCTTTCAAGAACAGCTCTTGAGAGAACAGCTCTGACAGAACCATGGCTTTTCCAAGGTCATCCAGCAGCTGCAAGTGGAGGAGTGGGGAATCGAACCTGGTTCGCACAGATCAGAGTCTGCACACTTAACCACTACACCAAACTGGTTCTCAATAGTTTTCAAAGTTGAGGGCTTGGAAGAATGTGTCGTTCTACAGGCAGGAGGTCTGTGCATGGGTTTCTCTCTCCAATAAACAGAAATGCATGGGGACAAAATCTAGAGGCGTTACCTTTGGTCCTGCAGCAGAAATAATTATCTGGCCTGGTGGCTGGATCCAGGGCTCTCCATCTACTTGCACAGGGATGGGCTTCAGAAGGGTCAAGCGAAAGTAGGAGCCTTGGGCAATGCGGATGCCTGAACGGAGGCCACCCTGGACCTGGCCCTATATTAAGAGTAACAGAGTCAGAACAGTCCTCCTTAAAATGATCATATTTGCCCAGAAGGAATATTAGGTTTCTTTCCAGGTGTACAATCACGAAAAAGAAGGGTCACCTTACATAGCTGTAACTAGTATGAGATTGTACATTGATAAACATTTTGGCGTATAAGTTTTCTTAGGAAGAGTCATCTTACATTCACGTTTGTCTTTCTTTTAGGTAACTATGATACATTCAGGTTGAGAGAAGCCACAAAAATATTAAAATTCATTGTACAAAACTGATGTGCTAGATTCGAATCCAGTAGCACCTTAAAGACCAGCAAGATTCTCAGGGTGTGAGCGCTCAAGAGTCAAAGGTCCCTTTCATCAGATACCTTCGATTCGCAAAAGCTTCTACCGCCAAAATCTTGCTGATCTGTAAGGTGCTACTGGACTGGAATCTAGTTCTTCTACTGCAAACCAGCACAGCTAGGTTTTAAACGAAAACTGGTGTGTAGTATAGTGGGTATTTGCTCTTACGAAAGAAAATTTTTGTTACGGAAATGATTATTATTTATTGTAAGGCAGTTACATACAGGAAGCATATAATAATATAAAGTATGTAACCAAGTTCATAAAATAGGTATGCAGACCGACTGGGCAAACCCCCTAAATACTAACATCTAAATTTTCAGTCCACTCAATCGCAGTTGGGGAGAGTTCGAAGAGTTCCATCACATCTCCCTGGAAAGCACAACGCTCACATTCCTGTGTCAGATGGAAAATAGTTTGGCAGGCTGCACCACAATCACATTCGGATCCTGGTATTTTGCCCCACTTAAACAATAGGTCTGCACAACTGCCAAAGCTAGCCATCTTCCGTACTTTACATGGCCAGTCAAATCAGGTTATGGATATTAGGTGGAACTGATTGCATCCATGTTTGCAACTTTTCATTCCCTAAATCAAAATTCTGTGATTGCAGGAATTTTGCAGATCTTATGGTTGAGTGTCAGGATCTTAGTCTGGATAAGCTCACGTCAGCCATGTCTCTGGGGATAGGCAGCTCTCTGTTTTCAATTATCTTTCTATTCATGAAGAAGAGCATCTTATCTTTGGAGTTGCAGGGGAGCAATGTGGCACAATGCGGGTAGCCAATAGGTCAGAGTGGGATTAATGCATCCACTGATGCTTCTCATTGTTGAGTTGGGACATCGAGTTTGTGGACATGGGTGCTGTTGAGCCATACTGAATTACCGTATTTCACAGCACTACACACCAACCACAAAGCTGAGCATCTGAGTGTTGTAGCAGATGCACCTCAAGTTGTACCACATCATTTTTGGAGAATGTTGTTTCGCATGCATATTTTTTCCACTACATTGGTCCTGTCCAAGGTAATGCCAAGGTACTTAGGTGTATAGTTGTGTACAAGTCAGGTGCCATTAAGGTAGACATTCAGTTCACGGCTGGCGAGATTGTTATTGAGACAGAAACAGGAGCTTTCTGTTTTTCCTGGACTTGGGATAAACCATCATTTATGGTAGTAGTCAGCCAAATTTTCATGGTCCCGTGTCAGTATTTCCTCAGTTCTTAAGATTGATTTGTCCCTTACTGCAATTGCCATGTCTTTAGCATAAGCAAACTTCCCGGATATCGTCTCGGGAACACCAGAGATGTATAGATTAAAATGAACTGGAGCGAGAACTGAGCCCTGGGGTAGACAGTTATTGGGGTACAATTCTAGATTGCTTCCTTATGGTGCACCTTGGATAATGCTAAAGAACTAGAACTTCCGGCTGCCGGACAATCATAGGATCTCCTGGCTACACTACACACATGGAAACAATCAGCCAAACAGTCCTCTTCAGGACTACTGGACAAGGGGTATAGGATACTGCACCAAATCTGCAAAATGAATATTATGTAAATCTATCATCTCATGAAACATTCCCAGGACTACAACCTCAGACAGCATTTCTGAAAAAGAATTTTTCCTATCAAGATGCTGACTACAGCTCAATAAGCAATAAATTACCAATTTCAAATCAAACTAACTTGAAGTAATTCTCTCTGGAACAATTAAATAGCTCCTTTTACTATTGATAACACTTATGTTGTTGTTTTGATGTTTTTATTGCACTGTTTCTTACTTTGTGAGCTGCCCCAAGCAGATTTTCAGAGTGAGGTCATATATGTTTTCTAAATAATAAATAAATCTGTTGGAACATCTGAAAGCTACTCTAAAAAACACTCCAGTTTTCTAGAACGCTAAAAAAAAACCCAACCCAGTACATTTGAGACAGATATTAACCAGGTTTAAAGTCAGGAAGAGAAATATTTAATTTCACAGCAAAATAAGTTGTGTTGAAAAAGAACTGCAGTTATACTTTTCATTGTCTGATACACCATCTTCTGACTCATTTGCTACACAGGCCAAATGGACTTTTGGTTTCCAGTAAACCTCATATGAATTTGTTCCAGCCAAAACCCAAGCTTTTCAGAACCCATTTTGTCCTAGCTCCTTCCTATAATTTGAACCGTTCTTTAAACCTAGTGACAGATAGTGATATTTTACCAGTTTGCAACAACAGCCAGCTAACTTTATTAAACTTCCTATTTTTTTCTCAAGCTTCGAACTGATCACAGAAGAGTAAACCTTCTATGAATATTGTGTATATATAGCGTATATATTGACATTTTTCATTTGGATCTCATCTTGATATATTTTAACATGATAAAATAATCGGTTCAAGTGGCAAAAACAATTATTATGGTGTTTTTATTTTATTTATGAATGCGTTAAATCCATGAGGTAATCCAGGCACTTCCATTTGAGTCTTTTCCTGATTTAGTCAAAACGGACACTTACCATGTGAACGACTCCGGTGACGCCAACAACTTCCAGTAAGCCATCGTCAATTCTTGGCTTCTCAAACCGATTATCATTATCAGAGCCCCACAGATCAGCACCAGAGCCCCAGCTGCACAGAGAATATAGAGCAAGATGATCATTGTTACCACACCGTTGTGTGTGTGTGTGTGTGTGTGTGTGTGTGTGTGTGTGTTTTTTTAAGGAAGTACCTTTTCAAAATCGAGTGCACCAGACCCTTCTATACAAAATGCTCTATCATAAAACGACAAAAATCAGTGCTCATGAAGATTTACAGAACAGAACTTTTCTTCCTTACAACTAGGGCCACTGTCAACATTCCACAGAGGCGGACATCTGGCCACTGTCAACATTCCACAGAGGCGGACGGGTGCACATCTTTCCCCCTTTTGCCTGCAATCCAGAAGTGCCAGGAGATGAAGTTAAGCTTTTCATGCGTCCTTGTTGCTACCGGACAACTGATCCATAGCGCTCATAAGAGAAGGAAGGGGATACAGGGGGAAGGAAGACTGGGGAAAGCTTCCAGACTTAAGTGGAACATGGGTGGGTAATTTCCTCCATTCCGCCTGTTAGAGATTCTTTTCCCGGAAGGAGCCCCATCTCATCTGACTAAGCACAATCCCTGATTTCATTTCCTCCTCCAGAAAGTCTTAACTGTCTACTCAAGCTCACTTTCAGGAGACGTCTTCTCATCACTGAAGCTACCCAACAATCCCCATAGCTTAATATTGTCAAAAAACAATACAAAACACATCTAATCCAGATGGTGGGCTTACAGTATTGCATTAATACTATATTGAAACGAGCACCAGTGGGTCAAAGGAAGTTAAACGTAAGACAGGCTCAATATGGATTCAACTTCATGAAAGATAAGAAGCTTCCTCTACGGCAGAAGCATGCCGCTTTCAGTGCTCACACCATGACTGTAGCTGTGCTCAATACACAGCTGAGCCCCAGATCAGACAGATTTTATTAAGGATCACAAACAGTAGCATGTATAACTTTTTCCTCTAGAACCTTTCATTTTACTAGGTAGACCGCTAGCCTCAGACACAGCCATCACTGGCATCAGAGGCAAGAAATCTTCAATTCTTTACTTGAAAGATTATGAAGCAGTGAACTTTTGGTCAGACTTTAGTTTTTTAACTTGATGACCTGCAGGGGGCACTTCAGGATACATTATATTAAAATGATACCCAAAGAACAAAAACAAAAAGCCACAAGCAGGTGCGGGCACGGCTACAATCTAACAAACCTATGAACACATTAAAGTCCCAGCAAATAAGTTACAAAAAAAAAAAACCAAACACAAACACACAGATATTCACATTAACCCTGTTGACATCAGCCAGTCAAGTCAAGCTTCCAAAAAGAATGGAAACTCAGCATGTAAAGAGACGTAACCACTTTCACACACTTCCTTTATTTTATTTGTGTCAACCAAGAATAAAACATTGCCATAAACAGAGTGTATTTGGAACTGGGAATTATTCTAAACCAGACCTCTCAGAATCCTAGACCTATAATTCATTCTTGATTACAGATTAGTGACACATGCTAGAAAATAAGGGGTGAATACAGCAGGTGAGACATAAGCAGTGTTCCCTCTAAGCTGAGTTAGTGTGAGGTAGCTCACAGTTTTTTAGCCTCCAGCTCACATGTTTTTGTCTTAGCTCAGGAAGGATGGCCCCAGAGCAAACTCATTTATGCAGCAGCCAAATCACTCGCTCGCTGCTTTAATGCCAGAAGCTCACAAAGTAGAATTTTTGCTCACAAGCCTTCACAGCTTAGAGAGAGCATTGGACATAAGTGAAGATTTTTATACTTAAACCAACATTTAAAGAACTCATTCCATCTTAAATGTAAAAAAAAATGAAGGCTCTTTTTATCATATGTGGTGGACTTGTGATAAAGCTGTGACTTTTTGGACAGAGGTGCATGATGAGATGCAAAAAATTTTGAAATGTACTTTTAAAAAAGAACCGGAGATACTACTTCTAGGTTTAAAGATGGAAGAAGTAAATGTAGGGGAAAAAACTCTGTTGTGGTATTTAATTACCACTGTGAGAATGACATATGCACAATTTTGGAAGGAGGACAAAATACCTGACAAATGGGAATGGATACGGAAAGTTTTGTTTATGGCTGAAATGGATAAACTAACAAAAAAATTGAACAACAAAGAAGATAAAGACTTTTTTGAAGAATGGAAAGATTTTAAAGAATATTTAGAAAATAATTGGGATGTTAAAAATAATTTACTGTGCTTAGATAATTATTAAGGGTTGAAATATTAAAAAGTGTGAATTATATAAAGTAAGATTGTTACCTTGAGACGTGAAATGAAAATGAGAGAGAAAAAGGGAATTATATTATGTGTGAGTAGGGAGAAGCATTGCGGGAAGCCACTGTTTGGGGGGGGGGGGGGATAAGAGAAATGGATTTGGAATTATGGGAATGTAATTAAATGTTGAATATGTTATATCCAAAATAAAAGTTTTTTGGGGGGGAAAAAGAACTCATTCCATCTTAGACCCTTGTTTGCAGCTCCGATATTTTTTCACTGTGGGGCATGCGAGGTCTTTGGATCAAACCAGATAGCCTTTAAACACTGCTGGATTATGCAACCAGGCGTTATCACCAAGGCTTGTGCACTGGGGGTGGTTTTGCCTCCAGCTCCATGCTGTGCCCTAAGTGGGATACAGGTGTGCCTGGTACACAAATTTTATCTTTTTTGTGCCACAGCTCTGCCTTCAAGCACAGCTGCACATGCAAAAAAAGAGCAGAGATTTAATCTGTAGGTAAATGGATTTCAGGCAGCAGGGCAGGGAAAAAGAGACCTTGGAAAACTGCTGGCAGCTGGTTGCAACAGGCAGTGCCAGGCTACATGAATCAATGGTATGACTCAGAACAAGGTGGCTTTTTCTGTCCTCATAGCAAGCTGAATGGACAAAGACAGCAGGAGGGGGGATTAACAGAGCCACCAACTCATGGTGGTCACAAAACAAAGACTGTGCTTAACATGGATGCCTTCACACATTTTTCTATGCCTTAGAAACAGGGCTTTTTTTCTGGGGGAATGCACAGGAATGCAGTTTTGGAACCTCTTCAACAAAATTCTTTTAAAAAAGTTTAAAAGTTAAAATGTTTAAAACGTCATCTCCCTCTTGAGAGTTCTGGCACCTCTTTTTTTTTAAAAAAAAGCCCTGCTTAGAACAGTTCAGATTCATGCACATGAAGTGTGGAAACTATCCCCGAATCAAGAATTACTGTATCTGTAAATGGAAGGGTGCATGCCAATCCCGAAACCAAGAAAACCAAGCCATCCATAGATGATGTAGGGTTTCTATGTACTCAAGGGGACACCTCAATATGCAGTGAAGGATGACTTTGTAAATTAACTGAAAGAGGAAAAGGCCTCCAGAAAAACAGACCAATGAGGACTGAACGTGCTTCTAGAGGTATGAAATGCTGACAGCAATTGAGTCATTTGCGGGGAGGAGCAAAACCAGGAGAGGGGTGAGGAAATTGGGCCTGCTCAGCCTCTGACAACCATACAGCATAATCCCAGGCAGAATTACTTAGGACTGTACTGAAAGTATCCTGGAAGGGGGAGATGGGGTGAGAATTTCCAAACTGTTTACCCCCCCCCCCAAAAAAGGCAAGTTCCTCATAGCCCCCAGCTTGTGTCATCTCACAGTAAACATCACAGTCACATACACCTACCAAGACAGTGGCAAAAGGAGCTCACATGCAGACAAACCTAGGATCTCTTCATTTGCAGAGGGCTCCCCTTGGTTTACAGAAAAATATTAACGGGAGCCTTGAAGCACCCTGAAGACTCACTCCAGCATAGGCTTTCATGGACTAGAAAGCTTGTGCTGGAATAAAATTTTGTTAAGTTTATACAGTCCCGCAGGGGTCTGGTTTAATATTGTTGCAACAGACAGAGACTGCTACCCCTTCGGAAGAGAAACATTAGTCTGTTTATTAAAGACAGTCCTCTTCCCCAAAAGCTTGATGCAAACCTAGCATGCTCATAGGATGAAAGGTTATTCAAATGAGAAAGACAGGGAGGATGGAGCCGGTCAACTTCCCTAAGAGGTTACAGAGTACCCTGGTGGGGCAGCATTCCCAAACTTTATCCCCTGTGCCTCCTCCAGTTGGTTCCAATGTAAAGGTTAAATGCTGTAAGTGAAGTGCTGCTTAAGACAAACTCCAGCATGGTATACAGACTTGGAGTCCCTACTACAAATAATCACTACAAATACTATATAGAGAGGCTGTGGCTATCAGGGGTGTGCAATTTTTTCCCCCATGGGTATTTTTTTGTTTCGGTCCATTGGACCTGGAAAAAAATTCAGGACCCCCCCCCCCCCGGGAAATCCTGAATGGGCTCCACGCAGGCACAGCAATCCCGGCTAGGCTGCCCTCTCCTGCTGCCTGCCGCCCAGTTTAAACCAGGTGGCAGGAGAAGGCAGTGCAGAGTGGTGCCAGCAGGGAGCTCTCAACGACTCACTGACCCAGCTGATCATAGACTGGCTTCTCTTGCAGCCCAGTTTAAACCGGGCTGCAAGAGGAGCCAGCCAAAGCGGCTGATCCTCGGGCTGACTTCTGCAGCCTCTTTAAAATTTAAAGGGACTGCATAAGCCTGCCCGACAAACAGCTGAGAGGCGGGAGCAATCTGCTCCTGTCTCTCTTCAGTTTTCAGATCTACCTAAAATTCCTGATCTGGGATTTTCTTTTCCTGGTTTTCCCGAGAAAACTCATATTTGGCAAGCTGAAACATACCCCCACCCCAAATACCGAAAATGTATTTTTGGGTATATTTTCAGCTTGGGTAGGGCCAAATGCACACCCCTAGTGGCTATTAATGAGTCTCTCTAGAAGGGACCACATTCAGCCTGTGCTGAAAGCGCTGCACTGGTTGCCAATAGCGTACCGGATTCGCTTCAAAGTGCTGGTTCTTACCTATAAAGCCCTACATGGTCTGGGTCCAGCCTACCTAAGGGACCGCCTTTCCCCGTATGTTCCCCCAAGAGCACTACGGTCTGGGGCCCAAAATTTACTAACTGTCCCGGGCCCCAGAGACGCAAAACTGGTTGCTACGAGGGCCAGGGCCTTTTCAGTAGCGGCCCCTACCTGGTGGAATGAGCACCCGGAGGAGATCCAGGCCCTGCAGGATTTGATGCAGTTCCGCAGGGCCTGCAAGAAGGAGCTCTTCCACCAGGCTTTCGAGTAGGGGCCGCCGCCCCCCCCCCCCC